GCCGCCCCCCGGCGGTTCTGTCCCAGGCTCCAGATTCAGCCGCTGTTGAACCTGATCAGTGGCTGATTCCAGGAAACTGGGGGCAGAGCAACTCTGCCTCGGGCTTCCTGTAGTCAGCCCCTGATCAGTTTCAGCAGCAGCGGCTGAATCTGGAGCCAGTTCCGACTTACATACAAATCTATAGTCCCTATCTTGTACGTAACCCGAGGACTGCCTGTAGACTACATTTACTTTGTGACTATACTAATATTCTTAGCAATTTATGATAGCCCCCTCTTAAAATTTGGCTTCACTGAGATTATCCACCTTAAGACTACAGAAATGGAAAGGGTAAATATTGGAATTATAATACATTTGATATTTGGACAGCAAATATTCTCTCCAAAGTGCTATTAAGATAGTATTTCAAAGGATATATACATAGCACTTTTCTTGTGCAATGCATTATAAAGATATTAAACACTCATTGGTTAAAACACTAACTTTAAACATATAGGGTTATGTCATTCATTGTGCATATGTGATAGAAGTGGGCTAGGATAGAGGGAACTTTTTATGCTTTGGTACAACTGTATGTGGCCCAAACATAATCTGTTCCCCAGCTCTAGAGAACACACATGTGGGTACAAGATGGCTGGCCAGAACTGGTCAAATTATTCACTTGCAATAATTTTACCTGAAAAGTGCATCCCTTTTTTTCTGCTCACAAATTACCTGAAATTTGTCATTGTTTTCTTTCTGATAATTATCCACAAGCGATTCATGATTTTTTATCAATTTATTATTGATAGTTTGTGCTGCCAAATTTTAGCCTCTTGTTGACTAACTAGTCAGTTTGAATATTTGGCATTTCATTTCAGATGTAGTTATTTCTGTACTCTGCCTGGATTGATCTACATTTTATAAACAAAATAAATCAATTTTTGTGCTCAGAAACTATCCACAGCTCTCCATAATTGTACACATAAATTAGCTAAATAATAAAAAGGACCTTATAAATAGTCATGGTCGCCTTTACAGTGTGACTAGTAGGGTTACCACCTATCCAGGTTTTCCCAGGGTCATCCCTTTGGTCCTGGAAAACTTATGAAGTACTAAGGCTAGTTGGCAGTGTGTGCTGTTTTATGGGCTCAGGCTCATCCCAGAAGTGTGCCAGTTCTTGTAAGCAGAAAAAGCAGCCCTAGTGAATATTGATGCAATCAGTGCCACAAGGCCTACCAGAGTTTCATGAGGCATATCGGAGC